TCCCACAGCATCACCGTCATTACAGCACTCCCACAGCTCCTCCGTCATTACAGCACTCCCACAGCTCCTCCGTCATTACAGCATTCCCACAGCATCGCCATCATTACAGCACTCCCACAGCACCTCCGTCATTACAGCACTCCCACAGCACCTCCGTCATTACAGCACTCTCTCGATACCATTGTCATTAATAAAATTACACTTATTCACTTTACACTCTGCTCTTTTAGGGCAAATTCGCTCAGCCTATAAGTTCACTTGAAGCCTTCTTGTGTCTTCCTCACAACTTAGTTCCCACTAGTTTTGTCTTTTCAGAAATCTTGGCAAGACAGAAGAACGTAAGAAAGAGAAACAGGAGCAGGCTATCTGGCTTCTTGAGCCTGCTCCGCTATTCCATAAGATCATGGCGGATCTTTTCATGGACTCAGCTCCACTTACCTGGCTGCTTACCATAACCCTTAATTCCTTTCCTGTTCAAAAAGCTACCTTTGCCTTAAAGACATTCAACCAATATCCTCAACTACTTCACTGCGCAGGGAATTCCACAGATTCACAATCCTTTTGGTGAAGATGTTCTTCCTCAACTCAGTCCTAAAGCTGCTCCCTCTTATTTTGAGGTTATGCCCCCTAGTTCCACCAGTGGAAACAACCTTCCTGCTTCAACCTTTCCGATTCCTTTCATAATTTTATACGTTTCTATAAGATCCCAATTAATCCTCACATCTAAATTGATTACCTTGATTGTGAACGGGTATAAACGGAGCAGTAAACCTTGCAGTACCTCACTAGTTCAAGCCTGTCACCCTGATAATATTCCATTTATTCCTACTCTCTGCTTTTTGTCTGTCAACCATTCTCCATCCACACCACTGTTTTCACACCAATCTTGTTCACTCCACTGTTATTTACTAACCTCCCATGCCGGACCTTATCAAAAACCTTCTGAAAATCCAAATACACCCCATCTACTGGTTTTGCTTTATCAATGGTACAAGTAATGTGACTTCCATGTAGATTCTGACTGATTTAACCATTCTTTATTAAATGTTCAGTGATAACATCCTTTATAATGAATTGTAACATTTACCCAACCACTGAGATTACACTAACAGGCATGTGGATCTTCATGCTCTCTCTTCCTACTTGAAAAATTGTAGGCATACATTTCTCCATCCCAGGCCACAGCATTCTCTCCTGGAGATATAAATTTTGAAAGATCATCACCAACGCATCCAAATCTCTATATTCACCTCCTTCAGCAATCTAGGATGAAGCTGATCTGGTCCGGAAAATTTTCAATCTTCAATCAGGTAACTTTCAGTTCTACCTCTTTACTAATACCAATTACATTAAGGTCCTCAGTTTCACACGTTCACTGGATGCCTATTATTTCTGAGGGATACTTTGTATTTCCACCCATGAAGACACATGCATTGTAACTGTTTAGTTTCACCGCCATTTCCCCATTATCCAGACTCCATTGCATTACAGAACTCTCAAACATCACTGTCACTACAGAGCTCCCACACGTCACCGTCATTACAGAGCTCCCACACATCACCGTTACTACAGCGCTCCCACACGTCACCGTCATTACAGAGCTCCCACACGTCACCGTCATTACACAGCTCCCACACGTCACCGTCATTACACAGCTCCCACACGTCACCGTCATTACAGCGCTCCCACACGTCACCGTCATTACAGAGCTCCCACACATCACTGTCATTACAGAGATTCCACACAACACCGTCATTACAGAGCTCCCACACATCACTGTCATTACAGAGCTCCCACACATCATCGTCATTACAGAGCTCCCACACATCACCGTCATTACAGAGCTCCCACACATCACCGTCATTACAGCGCTCCCACACATCACTGTCATTACAACGCTCCCACACATCACCGTCATTACAGGGCTCCCACACGTCACCGTCACTACAAGGGTCCTTTGCTGCTCAGTAAAACACAGGACTCCCTCACACCTCTCTTTCTCACAACGGCAAGCAAATCTAATGCACCAGGACCAAGTTGTTTGGATAGGTTTGCTTGAAGGAAATTATTTTTGTCTAATGTATCATGATTCATCTAGCCTTGTTCCATGGTGCCTCTGTAACAGGCACTGTCCCTGAGTGACTTGGCCAATGATCAGCTCCCAGATCTATTCCTGAGGTACACAGCGGGATGTTCCACCAAAGGAATGCTGAGGAACTAAAGAGACACAAGTCTCTGATCTCTGCGTGCTTCAGTTGTGTTGGCATCAGAGACTAACATCTGTGTTCTGCCAACATGTACATGGTTAGCATTAGCTAAACCCAGGGATGAGATGGCTGACCTCACAATGAAAAGTTACAAATAGAAATAATGCAAAAGTAAGGATTTAAAGGGATGGGGCTGTGACTGTTTTCACCCCATGCTGCCTGAGCGGTGACCTGCTTTCTTCCTGCAAGGTGATATCATCTGTGTTTAATCACAGCACTATCTGTTTGAAAACATTCCCATGAGCTTGGCATTACCAACGGGCTTTGGTCAGCAGCAAGCTTCATTCGATTCCAGCACCACTTTAACGTTTGTTCTGAGGTAAGAGGGGCTGCTTCCCTTTAAGCAATGACGCTTTATTAAATACATCTATATATTATAGATTAAAAAGCAAAAGCCAGCAGCACAGCAGCAGAGGTAAAGTGGCTGCATTATTAATGTCTCTGCCACGCTTCATGTACGAGGTTCAATTATTCATAGCCGTTAATTATTCATGTGATTAAAATACACATATCTATTAATTAGATAATTCAAAAGGAATCTGAAATATTGAGTATTTAAAACAACAAAGATTCTTTTTGTCGACACAGTCAATAGTGGTGGAGGGCCCCTGGTGAAGACCAGCATGAGACCCATTTACAGAAATCCACTCTTCATTACTAATGGTAAACTCACAGCGATGCACACTGGGGCACGGGTCTATTAGTCTGTAAAGGCAGAGCTGTAAATTTTGGGGTCAGTGTACAATCAGTCGATGCTGAGTGATTAAAGTGCTGAGAATGCAGGCTCCCCAGGGCAAGCACTGTAGCTGACATCAGTGAATGCAATCACATCAAGATTAATCCTCTGGCTTTTTTTAAAAACTCTCTGCTTTCGCTGCCTGCTGATGCTATCTACCGAAGATATAGCCTTTGTATCATTAATGCCCGCTTCCATTCCCTTCTATTTACCAGAGAAATAGAACTACTTGGGGTTACGCTGCATTAACAATCAACACTGACACCATTGTAACATTGGAGCCTCAGGGCTGTTTTAATGCTCACATCTCTACGTACCTTAGCATTAGGTTACAGTCCACTGAAACCCAAAGGCAAGATGGAGTCGTTAGGGAATGCTAAACATTACCTGAATCTACGAGTGATGTAGACCTTGCCTATTGTATTGGAAAGTCTAAACAGCTAGCCATAATTGAATTGATCATAAACAATGGGAGTTCTCTCCCTGTCCTACAGACCCCTTCACCCACCTTCAACACTCTCCCTCCACTTGGACCAATCCTTCTGGCCTTTTACCTGGTCTTGATCTGTTCATCGACAACTGTGGGCGTTACATGGTCACCTCAATTTCTCTGTCCCTCTCACCCTTTCTAACCAAGCTTCCCCTGAACTGACGGTACTCCATGCTCTCCGATCCAACCCTGACTGTGTAATTAAGCCTGTTAACAAGGGTGATGCTGTTGTAGTCTAGAGGACTGACTTCTACATTGCAGAGGCTGAGCTCCAGCTCTCAGATATCTCCTATCGCCCTCTGGATCATGACCCCACCATGGAACGTCAGTGTCAACTGTGGTCACTAACCTCATTTCATTTGGTGATCTCCCCCACCACTGCCTCTATGCCCCCAACCTTGCACAGCTCGCTTCCACCACCTTCCCAAAATCCACAAGAAGGACTGCCCGGGCAGACCCACTGTTTCTGCCTACTCCTGGGCATTCAGTTATCTGCCAATTTAAAACTCTGTCAGCAACTCCGCCAGTCACATTTGTGCACGCGCACAAGTGACCGTTTTGACAGCCACCATTGTGTTTGGGACAAATGACCCCAAACTTGGAAACCTTATGACCCAATCCGCTCTGCACAGCTCCCCACTGGCAGTGGGCTCCTTTGGCCCCATCCATCAGGAACAGTGTTCAGCGTGCGGAGCCCAACAATGCTAAAGGGGGAGAAACATAATAAAAATCCATTCCCCACAAACAAAACCACACAGTCACAGGTAAAACACAGCTGGAGATAGGACATAGAAACACAGAAAATAGAAGCAGAAGTAAGCCATTCAGCCCTTCAAACCTACTCTGCCACTCAGTACGATCATGGTTGATCATCCAACTCAGTACTGTGTTCCTGCCTTCTCCCCATACCTTTTGGTCCCTTTAAACCTAACAACTATATCCAACTCCTTCCTGAAAACATTCAATGTTTTATCCTCAATCGCCTTCTGTGGCATTGAATTCTGCAGGCTCACCACACTCTGTTTGAAGAAATTTCCCATCATCTCAGTCCTAAATGGTACACCCAGTATCCGTAATTTGTGACCTAGAAAGACCTTGGTGGTGAGATTCCAGCAAGATGAGAAATGGTTCTCTATTGCAGATCATGTCAAATGGCAGAACCCAATCACTACTGCTACCTCCTGCAGGGAAACCTGCTGCTTACTTACCTTGGACCACCAGCCGCCCCTGTGCAGTACGCCTCACGCGAGTCCCTGGTTTATTGGCTGCACATACGTACACTCCAGAATGCTGCACCGATAGGTCAGAGATCATGAGATTTCCTGTGCCCAGCACTTGGATCCCCTCCACACCGATTGGTCTGCCATCTGCGGATACAGACATTTAGGGATTAGCTGCAATTTAATCAGCGGGAAAACAATTCTATTCCATCTGTTGCATGAAACCTTGCTGACAAATCCAGCATGGGATTAGAGAAAGGCAGGGATTAACTTTGTGTTTGCATTTTTGAGACAAAGTACCGAGGCTGAATGATACAAGTAGTTTGCATGTTAAACATTTGGGCTCATTATACAGAAGGAAACAGGATTTTGTCACCAGTAAAATTTGGACGAAGAAGAAATGCAAAGAGATTTGAAGAAGTGAAAGGTACAAACTTTACATTGGAATGGCTTAGTGTTTTTGCTTCAAAAAGGACTTGGGTCCTGTGGAAGTACCTCCCTTCTGCACTGTTTCAGATCCATTACTGAGCATTTAAACGGTTCAGGTTGTATCAAGAGTTCTCTAAAGACCGATGAACAAAGGATGCAGGTTTTTACAGACTGAGACAGTGGGTTTGAGTTGTTCCATTGTGCTTGAAGTGAGGTACAATGGAGCACGACAAAATTTGTAGTTTTCCTATCTGGGAAGCAGTGGCTTCACTTTCCGCAGAATAACCACCAGCTTTGCTTCAATGGGTAGCACCTTAGTGTCAGAAGGCTGAGGCAGTACAGGCTGTCCCCAGAAACTGGAGTGTAAAATCTAGGCTGCTACTTTAGTACCACACTGAGTGGGGGAAACACTGTCAGATGGGCTACCTCTTGGATGAGAGGTTAACCGAGAGATCCTACCCACTCTCTCAGGTGGATGTAAAAAAATCCCATTGCACCATTATAAACGAGAGGAGGGTAGTTCTCCCAGATAATCCAATCAATATTCAATCCCTCAATTGTTATCAATAAACTCTACTCGCTATTATCTTGTTGTTTGTGGGAGCTTGCTGTGCAGAAATCACAGAAACCCTACAGTGTAAAAGTAGGCCATTTGGCCCATTGAGTCTACACTGTCCCTCTGAACAGCATCCCACCCTATAACCCCCTGCATTTTTCATGGCTAATCCACCTAGCCTGCACAACCCTGAACACTATGGGGCAATTTGGCATGGCCAATCCACCTAAACTACACATCTTTGGGCTGTGGGAGGAAATCGATGCATCTACAGGAAACCCACACAAACGCAGGGAGAACATGCAAACTGCAAGGCTGGAATCAAACCTGGGTCCCTGGCGCTGTGTGACAGCAGTGCAAACCACTGTGCCACCGTATGCCCTGTTGACTGCTGCAAATTGATTGCTGTTTCCTATATTACAACAGTGACTACACTTCAAAAAGTACTTTATTCGGTTTTAAACTGGTTTGGAATGTCAGGGGATTGAGACAGACGTTACATAGAGGCAAGCTCTTCCCTTAACCTTGTGATGGAGCTTAATACTGACAAGTCTGAAATCCATCATTAGGCATGCAATAAATCCGTTCCTAAACCCTCAGACCTATAGAGAGTTCTTGTGGACATGATGCATGTTATCATTTTGACTGCACTGTTGAAGTAATATCTTACTCCGCAGTAACCTTTCTCCATTCTCACTTGCAAACAAATGGAGTGGTAGATGTTAAGAATATGATTAGACTGAAGTTTCCCAAGGTTAGAATGTAGCGAACCCACTCCCTCTAAATTTATCGAACAATGACATGTAGCTGATTGGCCACGTTAAATGAATATGATTTTAAACCTCAGAAATCTCCCTCCAACTTAATGTAAACTTACTGGCCAGGTGCTTTGCAAATCCGATTTCCATTAAGCTGAATGAGCAAAAAATATCTGGTTGTTAAACAAGTGACTCACTAAGAGGGATGTTCCACATTTTTTTTTTCTCAACTCAGTGGGTCATTTTAATCTAAATTGAAATGGAACAGTCTCAGCCAGAAACACTGGTTTACACCCACCAGATTTGATAGAGATTAAATTAAGACAGGTATAAGTATGGACATTTGGCCTGAACCCATATCTTTTTCCTGCCAGGTGCTAGCCTCTCCCAATCAGGTATGTTCCGTAATCATGTAAGTATGGAGGACTGTCACTTTAAGAGTCTGATCACATGATGTACTTCAGGTTAAATTAGCTTCAGTGTCACTCTCAGATCAGCACCACTGAGTTCAGCACAAAGGATACACTTGCATTCATGTAGCGCCTCCTCCGGACACAACAACAGGTTTTACAATGGATGGATTAAATCTGAAAGTGCAGTCACTGTCATTATGGAGACAGCAAATGAACTGGTCACTCAGTCTGTTTTTGAATGGCATTGAGATAAAAATATTAACCAGAATACATTCATAGCCTTCTTCAAATGCTTTGTTACATTTCCCTGAGCAAAGAGCGGATGCCTTAATTTTTAAGATTTTACCTAACTACCATCACCTGCAATAATTCATAATTCGCTCAGCATTGCACCAAGGTGTCAGGCCACATTATCAGGCAAAATCCACACTGGGGGTTGAACTCACAACTCTACCACTCAGAGATTATGAATCCTACCAATTGTACCAACGGAGCATGACACTACAGCAGAATGTGATTCTAAACTCAAGGTGCCAGCCAATGCTACAACAATGGGAAATGTTCTCCCCACTCTCTGTAATGGCAATCGTTGTCCAGCATCAGTTGACGAGACTAACTGTTTAAAGCAAATTTGTGGCACAGTGGAGCAATCCTGTATTGCCAATCAGAGTCGAATGAACTACGTGAAAACTGCACACCTCACTTTGCAGCAAACCTCTTCAGTCCTCAGTTTGGTCTGATTTCAAATTCAGGAATTAATATGAAAGGATAGAAGATAAAGCAAATCACTAATTGCTCATCTTACAAGATGCCCCAAACTCAACAGTATAGTAATCCCACAAATGTAAAATTCTCATTTTATAATTAAATATAATATAGAACACAAACACACACATATCATATTGAGTATTCTATACCATACATCCTGCCCTAAAATTCCAAAAACCACAATCATCAGAAAGGATCTTCCACTTGGAAAATTGTATAGTGACCAGACAGAACATAAATCTGATGTGACACAGAAAGAAAATCATATTATAATATGAACCGTATTTTAGTCAACTGAATTACAGCATTATACATTATAAATGTGTTTCCACTATAATGATATCTTCAATGTCCTCATTATAACTATATCATCATCGACCATTATAGCAATCTTCAATTTTGCAATGCACATTAACAGCTATCAGCTGGAAATATTATTTTGGAAACAAACTGCAACTTAGTCATTTTTGAGCCAATTTTATTACAAAATTAGCTTGAAGAATCAGATTCAAATTTCAACCAACACATGAGATAAGGGAGTTTAGGAAAATACTGTTCAGATCATATTTGTCAGTGTCAATTAATAGCTACGAGAAGAACAAGTTCAAAGCTTCCTCCAACAGTTCAACAAGTTTATCCAGTGGATGGATCAACAGTATCCCGGGTTTGAACTCCTGTCCTTAGTGTCTCAACTGATTTGATCTGGAGTTTTATTTTAAAATATTTTGATGTGACCTTCTTATTCACGGGTAAATATCAAAACTTACAGCAATTTCTGCAGCAGACAAACTGAAACCATAGCTGTTTCTCCAGCATTGCTGAGTAACTGGAAAATGCAAAACATCACCACAACAAGCAAGAGATGTATACAATTCCCAACACAGTCCTGATATTTACAGTGAGGTATGCAAAGTGCAAGATGGTGAAAATAATCAGAGAATCTGATAGGGCTTAGTGGCAGGATCTCACCTTCATTCTCTGAATCCACTTCCTGCTTTTTAGCCAAACCAAACTGGCATGGAGGGAAAAAACCAGCAGCAGAAGAGCAGTTTAGAATTCCTGAAGAGTTCCTTTGCCACTTGGAATGGGTGAAGGTTGGTCTTTGTAGCAGGAAGAGAAGAGAGTGCAGTGGGCCACAGAGTGTGGAGTGGGAGGGGGTTCTGAAATCTTTCTTCAGGATTTGATCCTCTTGGCCCACAACCAGTGCTGGAAAATGCACTTATTTTGTGGAGCTGGCAATGTTAATGAAAACTCCTGCCTCTTTGAGGGCAAGACACTCAAATACCATGAGACACACTAGTGTTAAAACTGCACCATGCACAGTGTTCAGGGTTGTGTTTTGCACATGTGACAGGTTAAGCCTTCCCTTCCTTAACCCTCTCCTGGGCATCATGGGATGCTGGAGCAGTATAAAATAACAAGGTCAATATTTCTGTGTCTCTACACCTTCCAGTATTTTTGCCTATGCACATCTGCCTTAGTGTACTTATCTTAGGGTTTCTGCATTGCAATCACCTGATCTGAGTGTCTCAATCAATGTATCTTGGTTGGTTGATGTGTGGAAAGCAGTGAATCACATACTGAGCGTTGATAATTTTATTCTCTGCCAGTTTTTATTAGGCAAATATAACAATGCCTCTTGCACCTCAATTACATTTTCCAAGTGGGTTGGTGGAGTATCAGCCATAATTTCACAAATCCTGAAATATTTGGCTACTTACCGCTCAGAGTAAACCACTTACAAAGACTACTTATGCTTCATGCTGGAAATCAAATGCTTCATTCACTCAGTTTGTGGTGCATTGATATTGGACACTGAAGCAAGTGGCTAAATCACAAGGCATAAACTAAGACCAGAATGATAGTTGGAGGATGCTGCTCTTCAACTAGAAACAAAGTTGCTCGTTATTAGAAATAAACCAACATCCGAAGTTGATGAGGATTTTCTATTACTCTATTTTGGTCCTACATGTTCCTGAACCATGTCAATAGGTCTAAATAAAACCTCAAAGACTGAATTATCAACTATGGCCTGGACTTTGAGCTCCGGTGAAGACAATTAGGATTCATTTCATGCTGAAAAGAATATATTGACAAAACTGGACAAAAGCCGAGAAATTGACATCAATATAGTGACACTTCAACAGATACCTTGAGGATGATACACTGTGCAGATTTATCATTGTAGATCCACTGATGCTACAGGTGCAATGAGGAAATGCAGCAGATAGGTGAAGGTCAATGTACCTGAGATACGGTACCACAATATGAATACACCTGGACAGCTACACTGCACTATACTACACATAATTCTGTTGCGCACTGATGTGGGCACACCATTGCTCTCCAAACCCAATTGACTCTGCCCTTGGCACACTGCAATGTTGGTAATGTGTGTGTCTCTAAAGGTAACCATTAAAGCACATGATCTCCCTTCTGAGCCAGGTCGATAACTGTGTGTGTGACTGGAAGGAATTAAACGTACACACCAGTAAGCCTTGTCTAATTATAAAGCACAACTGTGAAAGACAGGTATGACTCACTATTAATCCAGTCCCTTCAAAGGAACTTGTTTCTCGGCTCCCATCACATTGTTCAAATACACACTCTGTTCATGATAGTTAGCGACCTTAATACAGTGGTTATAATGAGCTTGCTATCAATACCCCCTCATCCCTTTCTTAACACATTAAATCATCAAGTATGTCGCAAAGTCATCCAACATGAAAGATTCATTTGTCACACACGGTACTAGAACAGACTGAAGGAGGGATTCTCCTGCTTCCACGCAATTCTGACACTATCCCAATACAAATAAAAAGTACAATACCATCTTACTCTGATAATATTCCACTTGCATAAATCAGAAAAGAACTTACTACTTCTTTAGTCCTCCCGAATCTACAGAATGCCAGCAATACACTTCTCATTCAATTCTCTTACACCAGTTGCATGGCTGGGTGTTCAAAAGGTCATTTGGAAAGGTTGGAGAGAGGAAACTCCTTCAATATTTTTCAGATCTCAGGCGGAATTGCTACGCCTCTATTTCCTCCCTTTGTGTCAAATGTCGCTTTATTGACAGTGGGTGTTCCTTGAAAAACTTTCCTCTGAATGTCACCATTCCCTGGAGGTGCATGCCTCAGTCTTAATCCCAAAACAGTCCCCAAAACGGAAACACTGACAACCCCAAACTCACCGAGACGGCTCCAGGATACAATCGGACGAGGGTTTCCAGTCGCAACACATTCCAGGACAGCTGTTTGGTGCACGGTAAGTGTGAGGTTCTCGGGACCAACCAGGATCGTTGGCTCCTTATAAACATTGGAGTGAGATCCTGAGGGAAGAACCAAAAGGCAGTAGATAACAAAGAAAGAGAAAAAAAAAACAGACCTGCATTTATATAGCACCTTGTCAGAGCCATCTGATGTCCCAATTCCAAAGTGTAATCACTAATGCATGAAATGCAGCTGCCTAGTTGTGCACAGCAAGATCCCACAAACACAATCATAATGAACATCTAATCCATTTCTGTGATTTTGATTAAGAGATAATATTGCCTAGGATGTCATGGATAATTCTCTTGCTGTTCAAAATAGCACCATGGGATCCTTTCCCTTCACTGGAGCAGATAATATGGCACCTCATCCCAAAGTTTCAACTTATGATCCCAGCTGACGGTAATACTGGACAAGTTAGATCCCAAAGTGAAACATGGTTTGATATGTCATTAAGTTAATTTTTGTAGTTACCATGTGGGGTCAGTCACTGACCATACTCATGTGAATCTGCCAATGTGCTTTTAACAAAACAACACAAGTTTAATACATGAAAGAAAATAAATAAAACAAAGTTACATATATGTGTACTCATTTAAGGTAACTTGGAAACACCTTATAATGAACAGTAAAACAGAAAGATTTAACCCCCTTTACCCAGCAATATCCTTTCCAGACACTCATCTCCAGTGGAGTATCACCCCAAACTTCAGTCTTATTTCTTACTCAACTTACATGGCATCAAACCTTCCTTTTGGTAACTTTTTGCATATTCACAAGATGTGCTTTTCTGTGGTTCTCCCAGAGACAGACAGGCAGGCTAACTGATTCTTCATCGCTGAACTCTAAGGAAAAGGCTCCTTCCAGCCTGGTCCACGTGAACTTCTAAAACAGCTTTTAAAATTTCTTTCCAGCCCTCATGGCCTGGAGACATCCACAACTGAAAACTGCCCTTCTACTGGAATGGATCGTTTCTCCTGAAGTCAACATGTCTGTGGCAACCAACCATCTAACTCTGTAGGTTGTAGAAGTTCTATTTAATAAAGAACCCAGCAACTATGTTCCCTTTAATTTTAGTTGTTCCTGTGCAGTTTTGGAGCTCTGTACATGGTATATTTAAACCAGAGCAGAAGTCATACACTGAAGGATGATGGTAATGCAAATGGTGTTTCTTAGCTAGCACATGGCTACTTTTGGGAAACAATTATCTTAACAGGTAGCTTATCTAGTCAGAGATAACATAGTATGGAGCTGGAGGAACACAGCAGGCCAGGCAGCATCAGAGGAGCAGGAAAGCTGACGTTTCGGGTTGGGATCCTTCTCATCATTTAGCTTACATCACATGCTTTCTTGGAAAGGCTGATTTGAACTCTTTGTTCAAAATGATTTTTTTCTTGATTGATTTATTTATTGTCATGTGTACCAAAGTACAGTGAAAAGCATTGTTCACAAGCGGTACAGGCAGACCGTAGCAAGCAAGGATGTACAGATCAAAAAGACTTAGACAGAGGCATACAGGTTACATTGCTCAGCGTGTGCACTAGGTGAGATCCATGTTAGCGACATCAGCATTATTTGAGGCTACAGAGTCCATTCATCAGTCTAATAATGGCTTCGAAGAAGCTTTACCCGAACCTGCTGGTGTATGTGTTCAGGTTTCTGTATCTTCTGCCTGACAGAAGAGGTTGTAGGAGATCATTACCAGGGTGCGATGGGTCTTTGATGATGTTGGCAGCCTTTCCCCAGCAGTGAGCCGTGTAAATGGAGTCATTGGATGAGAGGTTGGCTTCTGTGATGGTCTGGGCTGTGCACATCACCTTCTGTAGTTTCTTACGGTCCTAGGCAGAGCAGTTGCCGTACCAGGCCAGCATGCACCCGGACAGTATGCTTTCAATGGGGCATCTGTAGAAGTTGGTGAGCACCCTTACGGTCATGCCAAATTTCCAGAGCCAGAGTTTTCAGAACAGGGAGTAATCGTGTTGAAGGCGGAGCTGTAGTCAACGAGCGGGAGTCTGATGTAGTCTGATGTTTGATGTTCCAGGGATGAGTATAGGGTTAAGGATATAGCATCCACTGTGGACCTGTGGGCAAACTGTACGGCATCAGGGTGGGCTGGGAGACTGGAGTTGATGTGGGCAATGACCAGACTCTCAAAGTGCTTCTTGATTATTGAAGTCAGAGCCACTGAACAGTAGTCATTAAGGCATACTGCATGTGCTTTCTTAGGTATTGGGATGATGGTGGTCTTCTTGAAGCAGGTGGGAACTTTCGGCTTGTAGGAGGGAGAGGTTGAAAATGTTGGTCAATACCTCTGCCAGTTGGTCTGCACAGGGTCTGACTGGTCGGCTGGAGGCACCATCCGGGCCCATCGTTTTCCTTGGGTTGACTCCCAGGAAGACCGATCTGACGTCTGCAGCAGCGAGAGAGGGAACAGGTGTGACAGGGCTGTCGGGGCAGGTGACACCACGCCGCTGGCATTCTGCTCAAACAGAGCATAGAAAGCATGAAGTGCATCAGGGATGTATCTTTGACCATTATCTTGCTCTTCTTCACTTTGTATCCCGTATTGTAGTTTAGGCCTTGCCGTAGGTGGCGGGAGTCTGTTTGGTAGGCCTGGGCCTCGAACTAGGTCCAGTGCTGCCTCTTGGCCTCCCTTATGGCTTTGCAGAGGTCATATCTGGATTTTCTACATTGGTCTGGGTCATCTGACTTGAATGCTGCACGTCTGGTCTTCAGTAGGGAGTGGATTTCCTGGTTCATCCAAGGTTTAAGGTTGGGGAATACCCGGATTGACTTCTTTGGTACACAGTCCCCCACGCATTTGATAATGAAGTCCATGATGGTGGTGGCGTACTCGTCTCCACCATTTTCCGCTGAACACTTGAGAACGGTTCAGTCCACCGAGTCCAAGCAGTCCCAGAGGCGGTCTTCCACAGCCTCAGACCAGTACTGTACCTCCTTTCGTGAAGGATCCTCCTGTTTCGGTTTCTGTTTGTAAGCTGGGAGGAGGAATACAATGCTGTGATCTGATTTTCCGAAGTGTGGCCGTGGGATGGAGCAGGAGGCATCTTTGATGGTTGTGTAGCAGTGGTGCAGGATGTTCGGTCACCTGGTGAGGCAGGAGATGTGTTGGTGGTACTTTGGCAGCGCCCTCTTGAGGTTGGCTTGGTTGAAGTCACCGGCTTCAGTGAATAGGGCCTTGGGGAATTGTGTCTCTAGAGTGTTTGTGGTGGTGTAAATCTCGTCTACAGCATTCTTCACATCCGCATGGGGTGGTATGTAGACTGCTGTTGGGATGGTGGGGGTGAGCTCTTGTGGTAGGTCGCAGAGACGGCATTTTTTACTGTAAGCTATTCTAGGCCCGGGGAGCAGTGGCTTGCCAGTGTCACTACGTCCGAGCACCAGGAAGTGTTGATCAGGAAGGATACCCCCAGCGCCCTTCACCTTACCCAAGGATGCCGTGTGGTCCATGCGGTGTATGGAGAACCCGTCAGCTTGTAGGGTGCAGTCAGGAGTGAGCCAAGTCTCTGTGAAGCAGTGCGCACAACAGTCTCTCACTTTCCTCTCGAAGGTAAGTTTAGGTCTGAGTTCATCCATTTTGTTTTTGATAGCCTGAACATTTGGTAGGAGTACGCTGGGGAGAGTGGTCGTGAAACCGCGCTGTTTGAACCAGACCTTCAGGACAGAACGTTTCCCCCGTTTCCTTGTAGGTTTCCTCCATCCTCATGGTCCCGGGAGTCAGTGGTGCAAGTCTGCTTCGCCTACAGGTAAGACAGCCAGGTCCCATCAGGCTAGGCCTCCCCAGGGTGGGACATCGCGAGATTGTAGATCAGGCCTGGTCTGATTTCCTAGCCTTATTTAAAGTAACAGGTCACCTTCACAAGAACACCGACCGGGAATCTATGCTCCTCTACTTTTGACTCTAAGTTCCCAAATAGTAGTATTTTATAAAGTTTTATCACAATATAAGAGATTGGGCCCAAGAGCACAGCACTCCCTTGGTACTGTACCAAAGTGACAGCCTGATGTTTTGCTCAAGTCTTAGACTAGGAATTGAACTCAGAACATTGAGAGTTAAAGGTGAGAATGCTCAAACTGAGCCATAACAGAGAGTTAATCACTATGCTCACAATTAAGACAATAAACTGTGCAGCAAAACCTTAGGTCCTTGGGAGTTTGCTTCATTTTGCGTGTTACTCCAAAGAGAAGCTTCTGATAAAGGAATTGGTCATTGATACCGTTCAAGACTGTAAACATAGATGAAATCAACAAAGAATGGGGATGAGCATTGGGTCAGATATCCTGTTTTCATCTTCAATACTCAGAGTCAAACAATTGAAAAGCACAGAAACAGACTCATCAGTCCATCTTTCCATGTTGTCAGACATCCCAATCTGACCTAGTCCCATTTGCCAGCCCATTTCCCTCTAAACCCTTCCTGTTCATATACTCATCCAGAAGCCTTTTAAATGTTGTAATTGTATCTCTCTCATGATTTCATAAACCTTTATAAGGTCACCCCCTCAGTCTCCGATGGTCCAGGGAAAAAAAGCCCCAGCGTGTTCAAGAATCACAACTTTCCATCCCAAAGCTGCACCACTCACTCTGAACAACCTAAAGATGCAAAACTCAATATCATAAATAATAAAATTCTCTTGAAACAGGAAAAAGGTACCTGATCATAATGCGTTTGCTTCTGAGAAGCAGCGGGAGTTTCGGTGCACAGACCAACACAGTAAAATGGCTAATCAGAAAAAAGACACAGTTCCATTTCTGTAACATTTTCAAGCGCTCAGGATTGTCAAAAATGCTTCACATCCCGTAAGTATTTTATAAATAAAAACAAAAATTGCTGGAAAAGCTCAGCTGCTCTGGCAGCATCTGTGGAGAGAAATCAGAGTTAACATTTTGGGTTGACTGACCCTTCCTCAGGACTGATGATAGCTAGGAGAAATTTGGTTTCTTTTATCCAATTTTAAAAACCATAAAAAACTTTTTCCTAGTTACTGTCAGTTCTGAGGAAGGGTCACTCAACCCAAAACGTTAACTCTGATTTCTCTCCACAGATGTTGTCAGACCTGCTGAGCTTTTCCATCAATTTCCGTTTTTGTTTCTGATTTCCAGCATTCACAGTTCTTTAGGTTTTTATTTAGTGTTTTATAAATCTGCGTGCGCTAGTGTGTTTGCAAACATAACAGCCAATTTTCATACAGCAAGGTCCAACAAACATCAATATTTCCATTATTTAAGAGGGGAGAGAGGGCAACTAAAGGCCTGTTAGCTTGACTTCAGTAGTAGAGAAAATGTCAGAATCTATTATAAAAGGGTGTGATAACTGAACAATTAGAAATGAATGGTAAAATTAGGCAGAGTCAACATAGATTTATGAAAGGGAAACCATGTTTGGCAAACTCAGGACTTTTCTGAGGATATTACTTGTAGCCTGGATGAAGGAGAACCTATAGATGTGGTGTATTTGGATTTTCAAAAGATTTTAGATAAGATCCCACACAGGAGTTCAGTTAATAACACATGGGATTGGAGAAAATAAACTATTACAGGTGGAGAATTGGTCTGCAGAAAGCAGAGCAGAGGAATAAATAGAGAATGAGAGATCTTTAGTAATGTGAGGGATATGGAGATAGACTGGGAAAGCAGCATTGAGGTACATGATCAGACTTGCTCCTATACGCTCATGATCAGACAATTTGTTGGTGATGTTGATCGAGGGACTGAAAAAGTAGTCAAGACCCTGGGAATAGCTGCTCTGTGAAATAGATCCATTAAATTCAGTTGAGGAAGCAAACAGGGTCTCACAGTTAATGTCCCATTTGAAAGACAGTATCTCTGATGCTGCTGCACTCACTCAGTATTGCACTTGGAGAATTTAATGAGCCCCATCTTGTACCACTCCCTCGCCTCAAGGGCACCAGAACTCATGGGAACTAGCCGCCCCCTCGTCCCTACCCTACCCTTTCCTTCCCTCAGATTGCCCTACCATCACCTGGTGGGAGTAAACTATCGTTTCTTTATTCATTCATTCACGGGGTGTCACCGGCTAAGCCAGCATTTATTGCCCATCCCTAATTGCCCAGAGGGCAGTTAAAAGTCAACCATGTTGCTGTGGGTCTGGAGTCACACGTAGGCCAGACCAGGTAAGGATGGCAGTTTCCTTCCCTAAAGGACGTTAGTAAACCAAATGGGTTTTCCTACAACAGATTCACAGTAATCATCAGACTCTTAATTCCAGATTTTCATTGAATTCAAATTCCACTATCCGCCATGGCAGGATTCAAACCCAGATCTCCAGAACATTACCTGGGTCTCTGGATTAATGGTCCAGCGATAATACCACTAGGCTGTCACCTTCCCTATCTGTTGGTATATGGATTTGTCACCCTGCCAGCAGGCACCCTGTACAGCCTGAGCCCACCTACAAACCCAGGTCAATCAGCAAATACTGGGCACGGTGTCTCTCCTGTAATCCTGGAGCCAGAAGGTGTGATAAATGAAATCTGAGGTGCTGCAACATCACCAGAAATCAATCTAACCAAATACTAAGAAGGTAATAACTGGAAGTGGTTGCTAACATTTGCAGTAGGCACTTTAAAACAAGGAAACTGTAGAATCTTCATGTGGATAAATTAAAATCACGTTGTTGTCAAGCCCATCAAATCATCTGAATTATTTATGCCACTTGAAATGCTACAGCCTGGAGAGCACAATAAGCAAACATCAGCATGTTTAACTCAGTCTACAGGCTCCTGGGGTTGACAAGTAAGGCCTGAATAATAAATGCCAATACCACCTTCATCCATTTTTATCTGAATTCCTTTCAGGCGAATAGCAACTGGTTGAAATGTTGGGGCTTTTGTTATTGTTGTTCATCCAACACAAAGATCAAAGCAAGTTCCAATGTCAAAATGCAAGCTCATAGTCTGAGAGAACACAACAGAATAAAAAAGTGTTGCCTTTTCGGGTACAGACTGGTTGATGCTGTAGCTCACTGGTCGTGACAGTCCTGTTCCATTCTGCTGCTGGAGTAGTGTTCCCCTGACACCCGAGCTGATTAATACATTGCTCAGTGTCACATTGCGCAAAACTATGCAGCCAAGGAAGATCCCAGGATCAATTCCTGCTCCATGCTGGGCAAAGTTATTCCAACAACAACAACAGATTAATTTAGATGCTGCCTACAACACAGTAAAGTGGAAAAAAAAATGCCCCAAGGCTCTTCCCAGGAGCTTGATGTGCACAAACCGATATTTAATCAGTGATCTCGAAGGCAGAGACAGCGAGAGGTCAGGTGTGGAGAGATTTAGGGAGAGAATTCCAGAGTTTAGGGCCGATGTAGCTGAATATCACAAAATGCAGGAAATCTGAAATCAAAACAGAAAATGGAGGAACTACGCGAGCATGTCAGGCAGCATCTGAGCGGAGGGAGACCGAGTGATAATGACCTTTCTAGTTCTGAGGAGAGCTCAGCGACCTGAATGTTAACTCTATTCTGTTCTCTCCACAGATGCTGCCTGACCGGCTGAGTGTTTCCAACATCTTCTCTGTTTGTTAGGGCTGAAAAAAATCAATGTTGGGAGCAATTAAGTCAGTGGATGAGGAAGGGGCCAGATTTGGTGGATCACAGAAATTTCAAAGGGTTGTCGGACTATGAAAAGTCTAAGAGATGGGGACAAACCAGGCCATGGAGAGATCCGAAAACAAGGAGGGAGCTGAATTTTACTGCTAAAGGGTCGGCAGACCAAGAGACAGTACTGGTAGCATGCACTGACCACAGCATAGGAAACAGGGGAATGTTGCAACTAACTTTAGACTAAGCCAGAAAGGGGAAAGAAATCCGCTGACTCCAAATTATTGCTCAGTCCTGCTGAAAAGTGTATGCTAATAGATCATCGATGTGGCCAGTATCAAGACTCAACTGTAATATAACCTGTACCATAAAAGCTCATTGCTGCTTAGCGCCAAAGCTTGGTATCAGCTATGGTTCAGTTGGCAGAACTTTTACAATGGAGTAACAAGGTGTTGAGTTCAAGTCCGATTCGAAGGCTTAAGCACAAGGATCAAGGCAGTACTGAAGAAGTGCTGTTGTGTTCACTAGTGTTCTCTCAGGTGAGAGAGAGATCTAGCCATGTTTAATCTCTCAGGTGAACACAGAAGAACCATTAACACTACTTCGAATCCTCAGTAATCCCCAGTATCTTGGCTATCATTTAGCCCTCAATCAACATCACAAAAAAAAACATATTATCTGATCATTACTACATTGCTGTTTTGGGACCATGTTGTGTGCAAATTGGCAGCTGCGTTTTCTACATTACAACAGTGGCTACACTTCAAGGATATCGCATTAGCTGTAAAGCACTTTGAGATGCCTGATGGTTGTGTACAGACCTGTCCCACTCGCTGCCTTGTTCCCTCAGTCCTGGGGATGGGGAATAACAGTCAGTGTGCCAGGGAGTGGGAGAGAGGTGACAGGAGCAGTATCTAGAGTTCAGCAGTCAGCAAAATACAACACCTGGTTCAAATTCATTTAAAACATTTGCAACACACTAGTTTTATTGCTCCTGTTTCTTTGATGCATGCACCTCACTTCAGCATCATTGGTAGCAACATCTCAGATTGAATGGCAAGGAATACACCCTTACAGTTATAGTGACAATAAATATAGGCAATATAAGATTACATTTCAACTAATGATGTGTAAAAGTTAGAGATATTACAAGAGTTCCAAACCAGATAAAAATTTCAACACGTTTGTACAGAGACTGCACACAGGAACACTGGTGTAGAGACAGAATTCTGCAAAGTCCTAGAATAAATATGAATATAAAAAATATTTTTGAATATAAGTCATCCTCATATAAGAGATTCTAATTTATTAGGATCTGCCTGTTACTTGAGGTTCACTCTGCAAGTTGCAATGTCGTGTAAAGTCATAACAAAGACCAAGGAGTCTGTCTAAAACCAGCAAGCTTACATTGTTATCAGTACATCACAGTTCGAGCTGTGTGCACTTAGACACCATAAGAAAAATACAGCTTCATCACTGCCTGGTCTAGAAACACTTGGCCATTTTACATCAAACTGCTGACTGGCTATAGGAAGCAGCAGTCACAGGTCAATATGAAATCCATTGTGATGTGTGAGAGGAGTTCTCGTGGGTCACATTTGGTATTGCAAAGCTGGAGAGAGGTGAGAAGCAGGGCAGGATAAACCACCAGCTTATGTAACAGGAGCATGGGACAGTGTCATTCTCATGTGGCATTGTTCAGTCACACAGTACTGACTGCTTCCGTTTCAATGCTCTTTTTCTCCAGTGATTATGAAGTTCATTTTCTACTGTTTCTGTTCTGACAATCTCAGCAGTGGAACAGCAGGTCTTCATGTAACACTGAATGTAAGACGACAGCTTTCTAAGCCACGTGAACCGTCGTGTTTGTGCTGGGCCAGGCAGAAAATCCAGAATATGAATATTAATGACTTGGTAATGCGCTGCGCTCATCTTTGAAATTCTAATATTAGAAACAATTAAGCACTGCTCTCAAATCAAATACCTCAGGGAATTAGGTAAGTGCAGATTTGATGAGATGCGTTCTGACAGAGCCAATATGAACCCTCCTGTAAAAGTGGCTCACAAAGAAACCATCCCCCCACCGTAACCCGTGTCTGAAGGGTCCTGAGTATACACCGCTTTGCAATGGTGCCATGCACCAGAAATGCAAATGTTGCAGCAGCAAACAGCACCAGGCTCCGCTGTGCTGAAGAACTCATTGGTCCGGGCTGTGTCAATCTTCAGACTGTGGCCAAGCAGTCCCAAGCAATGGACTGCACCACAATGTCCCTCTGATAGCTGTGCCTGAGACTTGGCAAGTCTGTGGGCGTTTTTAGACTGCTTTACTTTCTCAGAAGAGCGTGCTTGTGTGCGTTCAAGACGCAAGGAAGACCTCAGAAGTTAGCAGCTCATGTTACGTTTTCCATTGAGCATTCTGCCCAAGGAGAAACAGTACCAACCTGACACAGTGAGACTGGCTTCTTCGCTATGTCTTGTGTCGGCAGTGTTAGCTGCCACACACTGGTATATTCCACTGTCTTCTTCACCCACTCGTGTAATCTGCAGGACCCCCGTTGGCAGAAAGGTGAACCTGAAAGATAAAGAAGGCAGTTAACTTGTTGGTTGGGCAGTGAGTGAGTGAGTTTTCTTTCTAAAGTGGGAGTCAGTCTGGCCTATCCATACCCATGGCCTCTTTCTCCAGAAAGGAGAAAGAAACCAGATATATGGGAATGCCACTGCCTGCAAGTTCCCCTCCAAGCCACACACCATCCTGACTTGGAAATATTTCAGCTGTTCCTTCACAGTCACAGAGTGAATATCCTTGAACACCCTCCCCAACAGCATTTTGAGTGTTCCTACAGCATATAGACTGCAGCGGTTCAAGAAGGCAGCTCACCACCACCTTCTCAAGGATGAGTCACATCCCAAGGAAGAAGAAAATAAACAATAATGGATGGATTTTCAGTTCCATGTAAAACCAAAGATCCTTCCTTTCAGTTGTTGAGTGGTTCTCACTTATGTTAGATCCAAACAATCACTCCAATCTCCAACCACTATGCAGGGACCCATATTATCCTGCCTATTATTAAGGCAGCTTGTTCCACTCTATCTCAGACATGCTGACTACTTGATGTGTAGACTCTGCCTGAAGAGTTATAAGTCCTTTAAAGACCGCACCACTGAGATTTCACATTTATGAATACTTCCCATTTCGACGTGTCAAATACAAAGTGATGTAGTAACATTTCCTTCCAACAAATGGCGCTCTTGCACCCTGCCAATTGTGAAGACTGCAATTTAGAACTGTGAATGGATGGCAGGAATCTGAAGTGACTGTTCAGGTTTCTCAGTGGATGGCTGAGTTTCTGCAGGGAATATGCACTCTTTCCCAAGGATTATAAAGTTCCAAGTATCATTCTTTTGGTGTAATTTATAAAGAGGTAAGAAAATGGCCATCAGATGACAAGGTAGTATATGTACTCCTGTTCAATCATGCTACTTGGGAAGAGAATGATGACAACTTTGAGAACTTGCTGATGCAACTGGACAGAAAGGTTTAGGAGGCACAATACCTGTCATCACTTGGCTCAAGAGCCCTGCGATTCTTCAGCCACATGATCAATGGCTCTGGTAAACCATGAATCTGACACTGAAACCTGGCAACACCACCTTCCTCCACCATCATCGACTGGGGCTGCACGTGAAATGGAGACAGAGCTGGGGGAAATCGAAAAAAAACATCAACATTAGGAACCTTAAGGCCAAGTGGGAAAGGCAGCAAAGGCTGTGCCTTTTTTGCTTCCCATATTGAAAGGCACATGTGTCAAACATTAACCTTTCAACAGGAAGCCCATCACTCAACAAAAGTAACATTTCTATAGCGCCTTTAATGTCTCAAGGCACTGCGAAGGAGTGTTTGAAGGCCAAGCCATACAAGGTGGTATTCAGGTAGACAACCTAATGCTTGCTTAAATATGTAGGCTTTAAGGAATGTCTCAGAAGACAATAGAGAGAGCTAGGGAATAAATTCCACGGCTTTGGACCCAAACAGCAGAAGGGATGACTGCTCAACAAACAGTTACAGCTCCGCCAGGGTCACTGGAGCTGGCAGTGGTAGTATCACTGGGTTAATAATCCAGAACTTCAGGTTTATGTTTTGGGAATATGGGTTCAAATCCCACAAATGGCAAATGGTAAAATCTGAATTCAAATTTTAAAATATAGGGAGTCAAAAGCTAGTCTAATGGCGATCCTATAACATAAAAACCCATCTGTTTCACTGATGTCTTTTAGGGAAAGATATTTGCAATACATGCGATTCCAGACTGACAGCAATGTGGTTGACTCTTAACTGCCCTCTTAAGCAAGCTACTTAGATCAAGGGCAATTAGGGATGGCCAATAAATGCTGACACAGCCAGCGAAGCCCACATGAAAAAATATGAAAATCTCTACTCTCCCTATCACAGACCCTATAGCAATAGTTAGTGATAATCAAAGTTACAAAGGTTATAAACACCTACAAGATAATGGCAGCCTGCCTTTAGAGTTTCAGTGCAGTGATTAGCTGCAACCTTTACATACAGGTTCACTGAGCAATAACAATCATTTCCAATAGATCAGAACACTGACACCAACTGTCTTGCAAAAATTGGAGGATCACAAGAGAGCAGTTTACGATTCGCAAAACCTCCTTTCACCAGGTCTATTACTGCAGGGAATAGCCCAATTCAGATGAAAAGCTCACTCAAAAAGCAAAGATTTTTGGCTGCATGTCACGGAGAAGGCAAACCAATTGAAAACACAGACTGCTCTGAGGTAAGGTGGCAGTGCCAACATCATTTGACTCTGCACGTGAACTATCGTCACTCTGCTCTCCTCCTCCCCTCAGAATCCCCATCCTTCTTACTTAGGGCTCCACTTACACCTAGCCTGTCCCAGGCTCCCTGCTCATCAATTCTGTCGGCCCCGATCTTCCAGTTAAGCGCCCTTCTGTTCACCCCACTCACTATCTCCCTGGTCAGCCTATTCCTGAGACTGCAGTGCCTCCTCCCCACTTGCTGCCTTGTTCCCTCACTCCTGGGGATGGGGAAGAGCGAGTCAGTGTGCTGGGGAGTAGAGGGGAGGTGACAAGACAAGGCTATCTAGAGTGCAGCAGTCAGTGAAATACAATGCCTGGTTTAAATGCATTTAAAACATTTGCAAAACACTAATTTTATTGTTCCTTTATCTTGAATGCAGGCACCTCACTGCAGCATCATTGGCAGCAACATCTCTGTGACTGAATGGCTAGGACTGCACCCAAACAGTTACAGTGACAATAAATATAGACAATAAAGGATTACACTTTAACTAATAATCTCTAAGAGTTACGGAAATATTACAAGAACTCCAAACCAGATAAAAATTGCAGTATGTTTGTGCACAGACTGCATACAGGAACACTGGGGGTAGGGACAGAAAACACTGCCAACTCCTGGGATTGGGACAAACTGCATCAAGCAGCACTGGGATAAGAAAAATACACACTGGGAAACGTTGCACAATAAGACTGGCTTTGAGACATTAAGCCTGTCTGGGGAAGACAATATGAAGACAACATACCCACAACACTTATTATAAACAATAAAGCATAGCGCTTATTGTAAAACCTTTGGGTATGCATCACATGGCGCACTATTGGACTCTGGTATATACCACACTCACATTACCACTTGAACTCTCCAGCGTACCAACTGTTTAGCACCAATGGGAACCTAGCCAAAGCGGCATGGCTGAAGTAGTAATGGCCTCAAAATGTGATTGGTAGACTTTACTGTTCTAAGTACGAACCAGAATGTATCATCTTTCACTTACACTGTTGAAGTAATGTATATGACCTTGACATTGGAACAGCAGTGTTTGGCAATGTTTATAACTCGATCCTGGAACACAGAATGATTGCCAATGTTTCTAACTATCCCTGGACACAGAATGATTGGGAATGTTTATAACTCTATCCTGGGACAGGAATCTCTATAAATCATTCCTGGGAGATGCAATGATTCGGAATGTTTATACCTATCTGGGATATAAAATGACTGAGAATATTTTATTCTATCATGGGGCAATCAACGATTGGGAGTGTACTGGCAGATCAATGGTGAAAATGTTAGTTGCCCTGCAGCATAAAGATCTATCCTGAGAGGCAGTTCACCAACAGCAACTAAAAACTCAAGCCTTTGATTGAATTCAGCACAAACGGAAAGACTAATTCTATTAAACTAACAGCATTATATCCACATCAGCCCCTAATTCGAACTAAAAACAATTTAAAAGGCTCCATGTAAACAGTCATGTAATGTAAAAATTGAATTATAATTACTTTAACAAAGGCCTTGAAAGGCTAAACTAAGGACACATCAGTACCGACCAAGAAAGGTCAGCGTTACAAACAAATAACAATATGGAACACGGTCCCAACCTAGGTATTGACTTCTTACAGAATCCTTTTAAGGACCTAATTTTCAACTGTCAAGTTCTGTAAATATCGACACTTAAACCACCTTTTACATTGCTGTCACAGAATGGTCAGGACGCTCAGCTTAGCCGAGATGATTGTTTTGTCTGATTGAGAGTTGGGAGGATGTAGGTTAAAACCGCACAGGTATTACAAACACACAGGGCAATTTTGTTAGTGGATGCTGCTGGTTATATTCTGTTGCCAGCAGAATTCAGCCATGCATTGCCCACAATGTTACGACTGTGCATTAATAGCGTGAAAAGTCACGTTCAGCAGGTGACTTTCCAGCAAGGTGTGGCTGTGTAAAGATATCCCATGATACAACAGCACCAATGCTGCATTGTCAAAAGTGTTGTCCATGAGGTGAGACATTAAGGTACTCTTCCTGGTTCAGCTGGATATAAACAATTGCCGAACACATTTCAAGCCAAGAAGGAATTTCTCCTGATGTCCCGATCTTTCCTCAACCAGCACCACCTTAATTTAGTATTGTTTCTTCAGACATTGTTACATACAAAATGGCTTCTTCAATAGTATTCATGGCCATAATGACTACAATTCAAAGCAATCCACTGTATGTGAAGAACATCAGGCTTTTTCCAAGGACTATCCTACATCTCCATGTCCTCCTTGGAAAATGAACAGAGCAACTTGAGACTTCTCTATCAGTTATGTGAACATCAACTTTTGTCCAAAAGAATTGGGCTTTTTTCAGTTTCCATGTAGTCCACTCTGCACTGAAGTCAATGTTGCAAAAGGGTCCGGAGTGGAAATGAGTGTAGATGGACCTCAGATAATCACCGTGGAGGAAGAGCATTGATCTGGTGATTGGGTTAAGACCATAAGAAATAGGAACAGGAGTTAACCATTTGGCCCCTTGAGCCTGCTCCACTATTCAACAGGATCACTTTTCTGCCTTTTCCCCGTAACCCTTGATTCCCATACTGATCAAGAATCTATCTACCTTGGCTTTAAATATTCACAAGGACACTAATCCCACAGCTCTCTGTGACAAGGATTTCAAAACACTCACAACCCTATGAAAGAAGACATTCCTCCTCATCTCAGTCTTAAAATGGCACCCTTTAATTCTGAGACTATGCCTCTGGTCCTAGACTCTCCCATATGCTGAAAAGTCCTCTCAGCATTTATCTTGTTAAGTCTCTTAAGAATCCTATATATTTCAATGAAATCCCCTCTCATTCTTCTAAATTGCTGTGTGTAGAGTCCCAACCTGCTTAGCATTTGCCCATAAGGCAATCCATCCACATTGGGAATCATCCTAGCGAATGTTCTCTGAACTGACTCCAATGAAATGATATCTTTCCTTAAATAAGGGGTCCAAAACTGCTCACCATACTCTAGATACATAACGTTTGAGGACTCTGTGTCTACAGTCGATGGAATTTAGAAGGATGAGGGGGAATCTAATTGAACCTTACAGAATATTGACCCGCCTGGACAGAGTGGACATTGGGAAGATGTTTCCATTAGCAGGAGAGACTCGCACGCAAGGCCGCAGCTTTAGAGTAAAGGGAAAACCCTTTAGAACAGAGATGGGGAGAGTGGTGAATCTATGGAATTAATTGCCACAGGTGGCTGTGGAGGCCAGGTTATTGAGTATATTTAGTATACTGGGCAGCACGGTGACTCAGTGGTTAGCACTGCTGCCTCACAGCGCCAGGGACCTGGGTTCAATTCCACCCTCAGGCGACTGTCTGTGTGGAGTATGCACATTCTCCCATGTCTGCGTGGGTTTCCTCCGGGTGCTCCAGTTTCCTCCCACAGTCCAAAGATGTGCAGGCTAGGTGGATTGGCCATGCCAAATTGTCCATAGTGTTCAGGAATGTGTAGATTGGGGGGATGGGTCTGGGTGGGATGCTCTGAGTGTCGACGTGGACTTGTTGGGCCGAAGGGCCTGTTTCCACACTGTAGGGATTCTATGATCCTATGATTACAGGGAGAATGGGGTTGAGAAACTTATCAGCCATGATTGAATGGCGGAGCAGACTCGATGGGTCAAATGGCCTAATTTCTGCTCCTATATCATACGGTGTTATAGATGTGGTCTCACCAGCACCTGCTACCATGGCAGTAAGAATTTCCTACTTTCATAATCCAACCACCTTGATCCAACATTCCATTAGCCTTCCTGTTTACCTGCTGTATCTGTGTGAATTTGAGCTGAATGACCATTGTGATGAAGATGTAGTAAC